GAATGTATTTAGGTAATCCCGCATGCATACCTGAACAAAAAGAGTCAGCAATAGCTTTAAACAGTGTGCGGATCGCAGATATACATAAATATGAACAGAGACCAAGTTCAACTACAAAACTGGCAAGAAATTTTGGCAAACATGGGCTTTGTTGAGATGGTTGTTAGCCCAAATGGATAGGCTATAGGAAAGAGGACCCACACTACATGCATGCATGTATACACATATATTAAAAGGCGTGATAGTTTTATTAATGAAAGAGATAAGTAGAAAAGCTTTCCATAATTGGGCTGAGCAACAATACAAAGAAAACCAAAAACCAATATCTTAAGAACCTATCGAACCAACACATTACCATCAAACAATCAGCTACCCGAGACTTCAAAATACAATAAAACTAACCCCTCTATGAAATCAAGTCACATGTTGCATTTAAACTAAAGCCAAAAGTAAGTTTGAACTGCACTTGAACGCTTGCAGAAAAAAAAAGAGCCAGTCAAAGATAGACCTTGTTACCCTTATTAAGTCTATCAACCATGTGCTTCGGTTCACTCAACGAGAACAAAACAAAGACTGTCTGTACTATAATTCCTAATTGAGAATGAAACTGTCGAATTCATGCTGTAAGTTCTACCCTTTAACTAGTGGCCAGTTAAAGCACAAAGTGAAACGTTGTATCCTAAAGTTTCATCTGAGAATGAAATAAGTTAGTTGGCACTGCAGTACTGCACATGGACACCGTTATATATTATATTCTGTCGACGAGATAAGCTTTTTATTATCACTATAAGAGTTGAAGAAAATCATTTTTACTTGTAAACACCCCAGTACCAGCTTCATTATCACCAGAAGACATAGTAAGATGTTAGTCTTACCATATTCTCACGAAAAAATGTGATTAAATAACCCCTAATACTCTAACCTATTTATACAATTAAGAAAACTGTCTATGTTAGTTTTTCCTTAAAGCACTTAGAACAATTCTACTAAAAGAACACATCCTAAGAACAAGCAATAAAGAAGACAAAGAACAAGTTATCAATTGCTACCATCAAATCATGGTAATGCTCAAACCCAAAGTTATATGTGCATGACAAGAGCAGCCATTTGATTGAATGTCCAGAAATTGCAGAGGTCAAGGTTCAAGCAGACAAGTTGAATGCTTGCACTGTAAGCCATAAAATAAAAATTTCTAATTTGAAGTTTATAGAAACAAAGAAATAAACAAAACAGATTTACCTCCGGCAATTCCTCTCAATTTGGGGATACGCCTATAAAGTGGCATTTGGCCACCCTCGAATCCCTTTCTAACTCCCGGGCCAGACCGTGATTTCTGACCCCTCATTCCAAACCCACAGCTGCCGCCTTGGCCGGCCGATATTCCTCTCCCCTTTCTCTTCCCTTTCTTTCTCGACCCAGGCGCTTTGATTCACGACAACTAAAGACCGTGTCCCCTTTTGTGCTTCAGCTACCTCTCGCTCCTTGGTTCTGACATGAATAATGTGAAATGAGTTTGGTTTTAAATTCCTCAGATTTCCCTGCAGTAAAAGAGAGAAATTCAGCTAAGTAAACTAAATGGAGTATATATGATGAATTAAAGAGAGAGTGAAAGAAGAAGAACCTTGAAAGTGGAACGAAGAGAGGGTAAAGTTGCGATATCAGGATTTGGAGAGAGTGAGAGCATGGCTGCCATTGCAGTCAAGATGCGGACATGATGAGATTACCCAGATATTATTATGCGAAAATCGTCTAAGTGATCAAAAATACCTTATAATATACGATTTTAAATAATTTTTTTGGATTTGTCAAAATGACCAACAAAATCGTAATGCGAAATAAAAATCGCAACGCGATCTTCAGAATCGCAAATCAGTTCCCAGAATCGCAACGCGATTATGAAGAATCGCATTGCGATTTTCCATAATCGCAACGCGAATATGAAAATCGCAACGCGATTCTGACTATCGCAACGAGTATCCGTAAAATCGCAACGCGTATCCGTAAATCGTAACGACAATACGTAAAATCATAACGCGTATCCGTAAATCGCAACGAGAATACGTAAATCGCAACACGTATCTGTTGCGAATTTAGAAATCGAGTTGCGAATTTGAAATTCAATATTGCGATAGTCAGAATCTCGTTGCGATTTACAGATCCGCATTGCAATTTACGTATTCGTATTGCGATTTACGTATTCGCATTGCGATTTACGGATACGCATTGCGATTTACGTATTCTCGTTGCGATTTACAGATACGCGTTACGATTTACGTATTCTCGTTGCGATTTACGGATACGCGTTACGATTTTACGTATTGTCATTGCGATTTACGGATACGCGTTGCGATTTTACGAATACTCGTTGCGATAGTCAGAATCGCGTTGCGATTTATATGTTCGCGTTGCGATTTTCATATTCGCGTTGCGATTATTGAAAATCGTAATGCGATTTATACGCGTTGCGATTCGCAATCAAAGGATCCTTGTTTAAAACTAACGATTGAAATCCAAAGCTTATAATAAAACCTATAAAATCCTAGATTAATAATCAATTACAAGAATTTTATCGATCTTTTCCCAATATGTCAAACCATATAAAGAAAAAAAAAACTTGTTTGATTTCATAGTAAAAATAAAAAATGATTTTTTTTCAATTTCTTAATCAAACCAAAGCTAAAAGCAAAGAATAGAGCTTTTCTACAAGCTGCAGCCATGGAAAGATAATAACAAATATCTCATAATATCATCATATGATATGCCATCACCTCATAATAATATCACGTATGACGATATTAACGGCATGTACCATAATAATTGACGGGAAAAATATAAATATCAAATTGAGATGAAAAAAAGTTAGTTAAGTTCCAAGTTGGAAGGAATGAATAAGTTCATAAGTTTAATAAAAATTTAAATTGAGTTAGCATGAAGTATATGTAAATTATTATATGATTTATTGAGGTTTCTAATCGTTATCTATAACTTATTATTTTGATTTCGTTATATATTTTAAATATTTTTTATACAAATATTTCAATAAAATACGTACAATAGCCCCAAATATCTCACTTTCATAATGTAAATATGTAATTCAAGCTCTGTTTTAAAAATCGGACCGAACCGGTCGGTTCAACCGGGAACCGTTACTTAGTCCGGTTCAATCTAAACCGGTTGAACCGCTACTAGTGAACCGGCCAGAACAGCTGAACCGTTCGAACTGGACCGACTGAAAACCGGGAAAAACCAGAAATTTTATTTTTTTTTAAAAAAAATTAAACCAAACAACGTTGTTTGTTAAACGAGCCAAGTCGAACTCGAGTATTGCTGAGCTCGACTCGAACTTAAAAACTTTAAAAGTAAGCTCAACTCAACTCAAACTCACAAGCTAAAAATTATCAAGTTCAACTCAAACTCGAAATATAATATTGAAACTTGAACTCAAAAATGCTTGAACTCAAAAAAAATTTAGAATCTCGATTGAAGCCTAAAATTCGAGCTTGATTGAAGTGAAAGAATAGTTCACTCAATGCTCACCAAAAGACTCCATGATTTTGAATGCCAAATTACCTCTATTATTTATAGAAGTTAGTTGTGATGATCTTCTATGTTTCTTAGCAATGTGAGATTGTTTTGTTCTCAAATTTTTACTCTTTAGACTTTTGGGATGCTCTTCTATGTTTCTTAGCCATGTGGGATTATTTAAAAAAAAATTAAACCAAACAATATCATTTTGTTATGATTTTTTAACTCCAAATTTATTTTTTAATTATAGTTATATAATTATATTTATTATTTAATATGTTTTACCTTAAATATTATGTTGTAGTTAATTTGAATCATTTTGTTTCACTTAATTTTATGGTTTTTAACTTATATATGTTATGACTTGCTTTGAATATGACTTGTGATATAAAAAAATATTTTTTATTAAATATTTTTGGTATTTTTATTTAATTTTTTAAATAATTATGACATCGTCCGGTTCTTTCGACCGGTCGGACCGGTTCGACCGGTTGAACCAGTGAACCGATAGCATGACCAGTTCACTAACCGGTCCGGTTCTGAAAACCATGAATTCAAGTATCCTTTCATACAAATTTCTCAATAAACTATATATTATAGTCATAGACATATATCTCAATTATATAAATATATATATATATATATATTAAAAATTAAAATATTTAATACCCAAAAACTCAAAAATATTAAAGACATAATGCTAATATTATCTCCCTATGTTTATCGATGGATACTTTTATCTCATATTTTTTTAGAGTATTTTGATATTTAACGTTTTATTTTAGGTCCCCTAACGTTTGATCGAATAATCACTTTGACCCTTATTATTTTTTTAGAACAATTTAGCCTTCAACGTTTACTTTAGTATAAAAAGACCTATATTTTAGAGTATTAACTATTTGTTAACAAATGATTTCTATCCACATAGTGATCTTTTTGCCCAAAAATGAAATATAAGGTGTCCAAATACTTCAAAAAAGTGAGGACCAAAGTGATTATTTTGATCAAATATAAGTGTATTTTTTAACATTATGTCAACATTAAATAAATAAACTAATAAAAGTTTCTAAAAAATAATTTTTAATTAAATTTAATAATATATCTTAACAATCATATTTAATTTTTACATGTAATTATAACTAGCAAAAAGTAAAAATATTATAAAAAAATAAATCAGTGAATACATTCGATACCAACAGTATTGGGCTGAATAGATAGATACACATGCCAACTAACATAGTCGAGGTACTGAGTTACTGACATGGTATAGCATTGAGTACACCTTGAATGCAATGAAATTACATTGTCCTCCCAGTCCTGTGTTGTCACTAAAAACCTTTCACGATTTACAGAATGTCCCGCTACTGACACTTGAATTCAAGGTATCGTCGCTTAGGTGAATCACTTGAGCCTTGATACATTTTCGGTGCCATGGAGATAGACCAATGAGCTATTACGCTTTCTTCAAAGGATGGCTACTTCCGAGCCCACTTTCTGGTTGTCATAGCTCGATCACTTCCTTTTCCAAACTTGAGAGCTCCTAACCTGAGAAAACGCTCAGCCTGTAAACCAGGAATTGATTTTATAGTATTTTCACACGAGAAACCGTTCTTCGGCGAAAGGATGTGAAGGAAGGAAAGGCTAGGCGAGCCACACAATTCAACTCAAGGAAAGCTCAAGTTCGTTGTCGCCTCTGATGTTTAACAGTCGTGTCTCTCCCTATCTAGTAAGATAAGTGGCCTTATGTTAGTTGGGATCCTTTTCCATCGCGGTCTTTATCATCATCAACAGCCCTTCTCTGTGCTTGGCGACATTACTCCATAACTCCATATTAGTGCCTGTTTGGATTGCCACCTGATTATGAAAATATTATACTTTTTTTTTTGGTTATGCTTATATACTTGCCCAGATATGTCAGAAGCTTGCACCTCATGCAAACATATGTTTTTTAGAGGGGGCATGCCTCGGCTTAGAAAGATTTTCGATGTTTTGATTCTTCTTGTCGTTTTTGACGGCCCGACATCTTATCTTACCTCACCGTATGGTAGGATGGACTCAAGATCTTATCTTAACATAGATTATCAAATGATTATCAATTGAAAATATAAAAAAAAATATTTAAAATATTTATTAATTTAAAATTTTCAGGGGAGAGTGCTCAAACCCGCCACCCTTCGATCCATCCCTACTATAGAAGGACAAGGGTTCGTTGTGAAATTCTCATTTCTTTACCTTTATATTTTGAACAAATTCTAATTGATTTTTTTATTATCCTCCCGATTTTCTAAGATTTTGTCAAGAATTTTAGTAATTTTTTTAATCAATGGGAAACTGGGTTTGGAAAAAATGTTACATACTTATCATCCAAGGAGGAAACCAAAATTAAACGATAAAAAGAGTTCAATTATTTAATTTTATAGTTAATAAAAATCTAAAAATTATTTAATTCGAAATTTGGAACCAGTTTAATTTGATAAGTATTTAAATAGGAAGGAATAAGGTTTAATTAAGGGTAAACTATATAAACAGTCATTAATGTTTGAGTAAATTTTTCGTTTTTTCCCATTGAAATTTTAAAATTAACAAATTAATTACTAACATTATTGATTTTAACGTTATCGATTTGTAATAAATTGATCACTCAACATTAATAATAGTTAACATATATGGGTGACGAAAAGTTTAGTTGGACCGTTACGTGGTCCATGGACCGGTCACCTCTTCAACTTTAAATAAAAATCCAATATCATTTTGTTCATTTTTATTTTAATGTTATCTTGAAGCTCCAAACTGTGGATCTCATCAAACTCCACCGTCTGGTCTCCTCTACCACTGCATCGCTTCTCTTCATCGACATGACAGTAATATCCAAATTTGGATCATTATAAAAAGGATGGTCACTGTGTTTAGGCTGATCCTTTCCTATTAATGCGGTTGGCGGATTATTACTTGCGCTAGGACCATTACCAGCATGCTCAGACATACAATCTTCATGAGCAAGATGCGAACTTTCAGACTTAATTCTCTTGGACACCCTTAAAGAATTTTGATCAGAGTTCCTTCTTTTCATCTTTGAAGTTTTGGCATCACCTACTTGGATGTGTTTAATAAAAGCAACATATTATATAATTTCAAAAAGACGTACCTCCACCAGATCTGTGTTCTGACACATTATGCTTCTCTTTTTGCTTACTTTTGTGTTTCTTGGCAGGCAAGTCATATTTTCTAGGATCATGCAAACCAAGTTCACTTACCACAGAAGATTTAGTAATATCAGTTAAACACCCCGATAGAACTGATGCCTGCATGTTCTTCATAGTAACGTGCTAATCTTTATATATTGCATTTGATATTTCTTTTGAACCATGTTTCTTCTTTCAAGGAGGAATAGCATGTGAATCAAAACATTGTTGGTTTTGTTCAGGTTGCAGAGCATCAGCTGATTATAATCTGGACATGGTACTATCGGGATTATTTTGCATATTATTTTGATTTACTACAGTATATAGGAACTTGATACAATGCATAAGCAGCTTTTGTAGTTTCCTCCTCATCAACATATTAGTGGTTCATTGCAGGCCCCTAAAATTTACAAAGACAAACAAAATCAGAGAAGAAAAGGTATTTCTCCACAATCCACCACAAAGTTAACCACCAAAACCATTTTAACAATGTATATGTATGAAAATTTTGGAAATCTAAACTCTGAACCATTAAATTATATTTAATTTTTTTCCAGAAGGGATGATAAAAAAGTTTACAGCCACTTAAGCATGCTGCATGACCACTTCTCAGGTAAATTAATAGTGTTTATGCTTATTGGAAGAAGGTGCCACTTCATGCACTTATCACGAGAAATCCAGTTTTATTTAATTACAGAAGCTGCAGTTTCTGTTGGATCATGGAGGAAAAGATAGATGTTTTGATGAGGGCAACTGGTTTGAAGAAGATGAGCAGACAATGAGGGAACAACTAGATGAATCTCAACAAGAGCTTGCAACTCCACCCACTTCACCAACATCAGTTTCGTTTCGTGCTAGAGGAAGAGTTTCTTTGCCATATGTCTTTTCCTCCAAGATGTGTGGGATATCAGTATTTGTTGAATTTTAACTCTCATATAGATGACTTCAATTTATTTCCTCAGTTTGAAGAAGATGAGCAGACAATGAGAGAACAACTAGATGAATCTCAACAAAAGCTTGCAACTCCACCCACTTAACCAACATTAGTCGAGATGTGGTTTTCAACGAAGAAGGAGAATGGGATTTTAACTCTCATATAGATGACTTCAATTTCTTTCCTCAGTTTGAAGAAGATGAGCAGACAATGAGGGAACAACTAGATGAATCTCAACAAGAGCTTGCAACTTCACACACTTCACCAACATCAGTTTCGTTTCGTGCTAGAAGAAGAGTTTCTTTGTCATCTGTCTTTTCCTCCAAGATGTGTGGGATATTAGTATTTGTTGAATTTGTAATGGTTTAAATTAGTTTATTTGTGTGGTGTAGGATTGTTCTTGAGTAGTATAAATACCCCCTAGTAAGTTCCTTAATCTTATAAAGTCTTCACTTTTTAGTGGCTTCATAAAAATATCGACAACTTGATCTTGTGACTTCATGTATTCAACTTCCACATTGTTTCTTGCAACACTCTCCCTTATATAGTGGTAGCGAATGTCGATGTGCTTGCTTTAATCATGAAATATTGGATTCTTTGATAAGGCAATGGCTGATTTGTTGTCGACACAAAACTTGGTAGGCTCTTATTGTATCAAACCTATCTCATTCAATAGATTTCTAAGCCAAATTGTATGACAAACACATGAGGTAGCAACAACATATTCCGCTTTACAAGTAGACAATGTGACAATAAGTTGTTTCTTTGACATTCATGTGAACGCAATATCTCCCATGAAAAATACGAATCCAGTAGTGCTCCTTCAATTATCTATGTCTCCACCCCAATCACTGTCGCTATATCCAACAAGCTTGTAATCATTAGAAACTGAATAGAACAAGCCAAAGTCAATTGTACATTTCAGATAGCAAAGAATTCTCTTTGTGGCTTTAAAATGGGTGGTTGTTGGAGATTCCATGTAGCGACTAACCAATCCAACTGCATGAAGAATATCGGGTCTTGTGCAAGTTAGATAGCGTAGACTTCCTATCAAACTTTTGAAGAATGTTGGATCTACACTTTCATCTTCTTCATATTTGGTCATCTTAATCCCGTATTATGCCGGTGTGCTTATTGGCTTATAGTTCTCCATCTTGAATTTCTTCAGTATCTCCTTTGCATAGTTTTCCTGTGAAATGAAAATTCCATCATTTTGTTACTTAAATTCAATGCCAAGGTAGTATGCCATGAGCCCCATGTCTGTCATCTCGAATTCTTTCATCATCACATCCTTGAATTCATTAAACATGCTTGGGTTGCTTCCGGTGAAGATCAAATCGTCCACATAGAGGTACACGATCAAAATATCTTCATCTTTGATCTTGATATATAGAGCATGCTCGTAGGGACATTTGTTGAAGCCATTCTCTTGGAAGTACTTGTCGATTCAGCTATTCCATGCCCTTGGTGCTTGTTTTAGCCTGTAAAGAGCCTTCTTCAACTTAAACACCTTGTCTTCGTGCCCTTTGACTTCATAGCCTGAAGGCTGCTGAATATAAATTTCCTTTTCAAGAACTCCATTTAGGAAGGCAGACTTTATATCCATCTGTTGTATCTTCCACTTGTTTTGAGCTGCCAAAGAAATGATTAGTCTGATACTCTTCAATCGAACAACAGGAGCAAATACCTCATCATACTCAATTCCAGCCTTTTGACTATAGCCTTTAGCAACTAGCCTCGCCTTGTGCCTTTCAATCTCTCTTTTGGCGTTTTGCTTTGTTTTGTACACCCATTTGACACCTATCACCTTATGTCCCTTGGGAAGTGAGGTAAGTTCCCATGTGTCATTCTTCTCGATGGCCTTGATTTCTTCATCCATCACATCTCTCCATTTCTTTTCTTGTACCGCTTCTTGAAAGCTCATTGGTTCACAATCGGCAAACAAACAAAATAATGTAAGATTATCTTGTCGTTCAGTTACCTCATAGAGATCTCTAAGGCTTCTTGTGCGTTGCACAACTCTTTCACTTTGACTCCCACTTGACGATGACGAAGGTGATGAGTCTCCTTGAGTGGTTGATGTTGGTGAAGTGGGTGGAGTTCCAAGCTCTTGTTGAGATTCATCTAGTTGTTCCCTCATTGTCTGCTCATCTTCTTCAAACTGAGGAAAGAAATTGAAGTCATCTGTATGAGAGTTAAAATCCCATTCTCCTTCTTCGTTGAAGACCACATCTCGACTAATCACAAACTTCTTATTGTTTGGATTATACAACTTGTAGCCCTTCGATAGCATCATAGCCGATGAAGATAAAACTCTCGCTTTTATCATCAAGCTTTGTTCTTCTCTCGTTTGGTACGTGAACATGGGCTATACTTCCAAAGGTTCTCAAGTGGGAAATGCCAGGCTTTCTACCACTCCATGCTTCTTGCGCTGTCTTTCCCCATACACTTCTTGTTGGAGATAGGTTTGTCAAGTAGACTGCACACGCTACTGCTTCTGCCCAAAATTCCTTGGGTAGTTTCTTGCTTTTGAGCATGCTTCGTGCCATGTCGAGGATTGTTCTGTTCTTTCTTTCTACCACACCATTTTACTGGGGGGATCTAGGAGCTGTCATTGGTCGACGAATTCCATTTGCTTCACAGAACTCTTGAAACTCCCTGGAAGTAAATTCTTCACCTCGATTGGATCTCATGGCTTTGATCTTTCTACCGCTTTCTCTCTTCACTGCTGCTTTGAACTTCTTGAAGACTTCAAAAACTTTTGACTTCTGTTTCAAGAAATATACCCAGGTTTTTCTTGAAAAATCATCAATGAAGAGAAGAAAATAGTTACTGTTACCGATAGAGCTTGGCTTGATCGGTCCACACACATCAGTATGGATGAGCTCAAGTGGCTTCTTGGCTCTTGTCTCTGACTCCTTTGGAAAGCTTTTCCTGAATTGTTTCCCGACTATACACCCTTCACAAAGCTGGTCAGGATGGTTGATGCGAGGTAGTCCCTTCACCATCTCCTTCTTAGATAACAGCTCTAGACCTCCAAAATTGAGATGCCCAAATCGAAGATGCCAAAGCCATGATGCATCTTTGTAGCAAGATTTCAGGCACTTTGCAACATCATTTTGTATGTTGATCAAGAACATTCTATTCTTTGACATCGGCACTTTAGCAATGAAGTTATTCTTATCATCTTTTATAGAAAGATTATAATTATTCATATGAATATCATAACCTTTCTCTACCAGTTGCCTTAAACTTAAGATGTTACTTTTCATATTGGGCACATAGTAGACATTTGAAATAAATTGATGTCTCCCATTTTTCAAACGGATAAGCATGTTACCTCTCTCTTTCACTGCTATTTTGGAATCATCTCCAAATGAAACATTTCCGCTTACTGACTCGTCTAGCTCCACGAACATGTCTTTCCTTCCGCACATATGATTACTTGCACCACTGTCAAGATACTAGGAATTTGCTTGGCCACCATCAGTTTCGTTTCGTGCTAGAAGAAGAGTTTTTTTACCATCTATCTTTTCCTCCATATAGTTGGTCTTCTCCTCAGTTTTGTTGTTGGGAGCTTTATATTCTGAAGCATAATGCCCAAACTTTTGACAATTATAACATCGAACTTGAGATTTGTCATACTTTGAGTTTGGATTGATTCTTCCACAGCCTCGTGTTGAGCTTTCTCCTTTTTTATAGTTGTTGTTGGAATTGTTATTGTTGTAATTCCAGCCTTGTCCACGACCTCAACTTCCTGGTATCAGAGCTTCCGACGCCACTAGAATTTTTGAAGGTTATGATATTCATATGAATAATTATAATCTTTCTATAAAAGATGATAAGAATAACTTCATTGCTAAAGTGTCGATGTCAAAGAAAAGAATGTTCTTGATCAACATACAAAATGATGTTGTAAAGTGCCTGAAATCTTGCTACAAAGATGCATCATGGCTTTGGCATCTTCGATTTGGGTATCTCAATTCTGGAGGTCTAGAGCTGTTATCTAAGAAGGAGATAGTGAAGGGACTACCTCGCATCAACCATCCTGACCAGCTTTGTGAATGGTGTATAGTCGAGAAACAATTCAGGAAAAACTTTCCAAAGGAGTCAGAGACAAGAGCCAAGAAGCCACTTGAGCTCATCCATACCGATGTGTGTGGACCGATCAAGCCAAGCTCTCTCGGTAACAGTAAATATTTTCTTCTCTTCATTGATGATTTTTCAAGAAAAACATGGGTATATTTCTTGAAACAGAAGTTAGAAGTTTTTGAAGTCTTCAAGAAGTTCAAAGCAGTAGTGGAGAGAG